ACTTTAAATATTAAAAAAATTCAGTAAAAATAAAAAAAATACGGAAAACAAGAAAGTAGAAATTTCTGAAAAGAGTTTTTGGAAAACTCTAACCAAGCATGCTTATTTTTTTATAATTTTATATTTTAGAAGGCTAAAAATAATTTTTAAAAATTTAAAAATATTTTTTGATATTTATTTTATCAAATTAGTTTATATTTAAAAAAAAAATTTAAAACAAACCAAACATGGCCTTTGTATTTTGTATTTTTATTTTGCTTTTATTTATTCATTTATAAATTTTTTTCAAAACCATATTTATGAAGAAATTTTAATAAAGTAAAGATTGTAAAGAAACATTGATAGAGGGTAAGATTGAAAAAGAAGATAAATATAGTTGTAATCCTAGATTCAAATGTTTTTGGATAGTGAATACCACAATAATTTGATGGAATTATTAATACCTTCACTATTACTCTTATGATCAAATATGACCGAAAAGTATTGTGATTGGTGAAAAGAATAAGGCTAAAAAATTTATATTAGATAATTAAAAAAATATAATAAATTATAATGGATAAAAGGTATGGCCACGCCTCCCGACCAACCAATAATTTTTCCTTCTTGATGTTGTAATAAGCCCAACAAAATTGAGTAACTCAAGTTGTGGTAAACTTATGTTGTTAAGGACAGCCAGTTGCCTAGTAATTTATGTAGCTATCCTTGAGGTGATTATATTTGCAGTTAACAAATCATTTAGTCCGTCAATTTTTACTTGGTATTCTCTATTAAATTATTTAGAAATATAATTTCCAATATATCTTATCTTCTTTCACAAATAACCTTTCAAAATAAAATTATAATTTATAATATACCTAAATAATAAACAAATCAATTAAAAAAAAAAAAACCCTTCTTCTTTCTTCCTCTATTTTCCTCTCTGCTGCAACTTCCATTCTCTTCAAGTTAAAGCAAAAATCTAACGCAACGAGATCAAAGTTCTTCACTGTCCCATTTGTTTATATGCAACAGATTAACCACATAAATGATACCAAATAATGATTACGAGAAAAAAAACAGTAGAAACCCAATTTCATCAACTATTATTTATCTATATCATTTTACAAAATTTCCTGGAGGAAAATTTTCAGAAACTAGCTGTAAAGTAAAAAATTAGAAATAAAAATATTTGAAGAAGAAGAAAAAGAAAGAAAATAGTGTATCAAACCATTGTTGATTTCATATTTCACCTAACTTATTTTTATAGAATATAACAATAAATGAGAATGAAGGGAATGAACATGATTTGAGTATTTTTGTTATAGAAAAAATGTTTCAGTTCAAATACAATGATTATATTCTATAAAAATAAGTTAGGTGAAATATGAAATCATTGTATTTGAACCCATGTTCAGGCTAAATTGTTCAACAGGAGACTGTTCTCCTTCTTCTGTAGTTGCATTCGCATCTTCCTTTTCCATGGCTGCAACTGCAACAGCAGGATCCTTAGCTAGTTCACCAGTCATCCTATCCTTCCCAAATAGAATAAGCCAATCTTCATGGAATGAGAATGGCCTATTTCGCATCCCTTTTGCATCTGGCACCCTCTACACAAGTGATTATCCAATTACTAAAAATAACAGATTGTTTTATAAGTAAAGAATAATGCAAACAACAATAAAAAAAACCCTTCGTCTTTCTTCCTCTATTTTCCTCTCTGCTGCAACTTCCATTCTCTTCAAGTTAAAGCAAAAATCTAATGCAACGAGATCAAAGTTCTTCACTGTCCCATTTGTTAAATGCAACAGATCAAGCACATAAATGATACCAAATAATGATTACGAGAAAAAAAAACAGTAGAAACCTAATTTCATCAACTATTATTTATCTATATCATTTTACAAAATTTCCTGGAGGAAAATTTTCAGAGACTAGCTATAAAATAAAAAATAAGAAATAAAAATATTTGAAGAAGAAGAAAAATAAAGAAAATAGTGTATCAAACCATTGTTGATTTCATATTTCACCTAACTTTTTTTTATAGAATATAATCATTGTATTTGAACTGAAACATTTTTTCTATAACAAAAATACTCAAATCATGTTCATTCCCTTCATTCTCATTTATTGTTTGATTTTATTCAAATTTTTTTCTATTTGCAAGTAATAACACAAAATAATATTGTTGATGATAATGGTAAGTTTCGGTAGGGTAGATTGGAGTTTTGGAATAAGAAAGAAGATAAAGAGAAAACAATTAAAACTTGGATAAGAAAATGAATTAAAGTGTACAATAAGAAAAAAAAAAGAAAAAATTTATTTCAAGGTTTAATGTGTATTGTTCTTGTAAGTATACATTAGAGTATTGTAATGCCTTGACTTTTATTACTCGAATCCATTATCAAATTCTTTATATTATTACCAGTTTCAATAATACCATCCACCCATAGTCCATCCTACAATAGTACTCATAGCATCTGTCTAGCAACAATCAATACTATCTTCCACCGATGACTAAGGACAAAACTCTAGATGCCAATTATATAATGACAAGCAACCATACATCTCAACCCAATTCCAATTCTAATTCCTAATTTAATAAACGAGTTAACAAAATAACAATTTGTTTTGAAAACCAATTCCCACGCCTTCAAATTTTCAACATAATCAACCCATCCATACCCATTCCATGGTTTCCAAACATCCCCAATTTAGTTATATTCAACATAACCTAATATTACCACAGATGTATCTATAGCGAGGTATTGAAAGGAAGCTCAAGAATCCCCACCTCTTGGAGCGAGGAGAAAAGTCAAAAAATTACTAGCGACGCAAACACGATCCGTCCAGATTAGAACGAACCCCTCAACCTCCTCTACACTAAAGTCTAAGGCACTAAGACCCCGTTTGTTGTTAGAGGTAGGATGGAGAGAATTGTTAGTGAGGGGACTGCTAGTGAGAGGATAAAGAAATATTGTGTTTGTTTGATAACCAATGGATTAGTAATAGTTCATGTTTATTTTGAGAGATAGGGATAGGATTAACCATGTGAAATTCCACAAATACCCTTTGCATTATTATCAAATTTGGACTTATACGAACTAAAGAATAAATAAATTTTTACTCATCAACGTTATTCTTCTACTTTTTTTTTTAATTTTTTTTAAATATTAAAGAATCTAACTATCAACATTTTTTTTTGTCAATGTTATTCTTTTTTTTTTTTTTTCATATTATTGAATCCAACTACCAATAAATTTTTATTCAATGCTATTCTCTCTTATTTTTTTTTTCTTTTTTTTTTGTAAATATTAAATAATCCAACTATCAATAAAATTTTACTCAATTATTTATATTTAATATTACATGAGCCATATTATTCAATGTCACTGCTTGTGCAGAATGTATATCTTGCCAAATTTGTTTTTGCAAGTCCAATGCATCAAAACCAAAATAGTATTCATCTGATATCTTTAGACTAATTTTAAGATCTTGAATGTGATGACTTTGACATCATGAAATAAAAAAATCGATAAACTAACTATTGCAATTAGAAATCATGTCACCAAACCAAAATACTGTCAATTTTTAACTTGTTTGTTTCTCAAATTCTAATCCTAATCCTGTCATTTTTTTAACTTGTTTGTTTCTCAAATTCAATTCTCAAATCAGAAATCATGTCACCAAACCAAAATACCCAACTTGAAACTAAAAATCCCCAATCTAAGTATGAATCACAATTTCCTTTCATGCATCTAATGCATCAAATTTGCAACAACTCGAACACAGTACCAGCAAATGAATCCCAAAATGCCAAGGAAAATTGAAAGCAAAGGGACCCAAGTTCACATTTGTAGTCATCAAGTTAATTTTCATTTCATCAACAACAATTGAAAGTTCAAGCAAATAGAAGGGCATAAGAAACAGAACCCAACTAAAAGTCAATATATATATATATATATATATATCTCAAGCATCTATGCCACAATCACCATTTGTATTTATCTGCCGAGAGAGAGAGAGAGAGAGAGAGAGAGAGAGAGAGAACTAACCACCCACAAAGGCAAAGTAGGCAATCTATGAGTGACAATGAGCCAAACAAGACCATACCCAACAAAATTCTAAACAACACTAATGGAAAAAACAGCCCAAATGGTTTAACCATATCTT